AAGAAAGAAAGAAAGAAAGAAAGAAAGAAAGAAAGAAAGAAAGAAAGGGGAAAGGGAGAAAGAAAGAAAGAAAGAAAGAAAGAAAGAAAGAAAGAAAGAAGGGGGAAAGGGAGAAAAAAAGAAAGAAAGAAAGAAAGAAAGAAAGAAAGAAAGAAAGAAAGGAAGGAAGGAAGGAAGAAAGAGGGGGGAAAGGGAGAAAGAAAGAAAGAAAGGAAGAAAGAAAGAAAGAAAGAAAGAAAGAAAGAAAGAAAGAAAGAAGACATTGTGAATTTTCCAGAAGAGTAGGGGATGTGGGAGGAAACAGAAGGCAAGCAGGGAGGGAGAGAGTGATGTCGATGAAGTATTCATATGTGGAGTCCTCAAGAAGACGACGACGATGAAGAAGAGCAGGAGGAAGGGGGAAGAAGAAGAGGAAGAAGAGGAGGAGGAAGTGGTGGTGCTGGAGCAGTGGCTCAGTTAAGAGCACTGGCTGGACTTCCATAGGATCCACGTTCAATTCCCAGCACTGACATGGCAGCTCATAACCATTTGTAACTCTATTCCCATAGGGTCTAATGTTCTCCTTCATGGGCACCAGACATGCACATGGTGCACAGCCAGACATGCAGCAAAAACACCTACACCCATAAAAATTTAATTAATTAAATTAAAATCTAATCTTTAGACGTATTTAAAAATCCATTCGTTTTGAAAAGGAAACGGATGAGGAATGGTGTAAGGAGACAGACTTCTGCTTTGACCACCTCTGGTTACTTTAATCCAAGTCATGTGGCACGGCAGTGTTGGGTAGCAATTTTATGAAAGCATTTGAAAGGTCAGACGTGCAATGCTGGTATTTATTTTAACTGTTTCCAACTCACAGTTTTCATCTCTCGCCACTGCTGCTCTGGGCAAATCACAGACTTCATAGCTCTTGGCACTGCTGCTGCAGCTGGAGCAGGGAATGTTCTCTTCTTCTCCACACCCTGGGCAGCTGGAGAAGCTCTTCCAGTACATAGACCTCCACCAGGATGAGTTTGTGCAGGTAGGAGAAGCTGCACGTGGTGCTCTGCTTGTTCCCGTCAGAATCTGGTGACAGCAATTTACTGGGAGATGCGGAATTTTGTGTCCAAAGATACAATTCCATTTAAAATGGTGAAACTTCTTACTGGGATAAAATATCAGGGCTCAGTAGATTTGTGGCAGAGATCTCTTAGTTCTGGGTTCTAGAAAGATACTCTCTGCCCCTGGCTGGTGTTCACAACACCTCTGTAGAGATCATGATTATTCTAGTCCATCAAGTATCCTACTTGGTTTGCAGAGATATCTAGATGGAGCAGGAGAATCTTTTATACTTCAGAGCCAAATTTGATAGTCCTTGCTTCATTCCTAACACCAGCCTGATTACCAGGATGTGGGGTGGACATGTTGGGGAAAAGAGGACAGCGGACAAAGAATAGAAAGAGGCCTTGGGAGCAAAAATAGGAGGGGAGCAGTAGGAGAGGAGTGGTAGGTGCGGGTCCTATGTCTCCCTGGGCAACTTCCCTCTCCCGACTCCACGGGCTCTTGTCCCTTCTGTTGGCATCTGAGCCTATGACCACAGCTTTCTCAACAGTGGTTTTGAGGTGTTTGTTTGTTTGTTTGTTTGTTTGTTTGTTTGTTTGAGACAGAGTCCAGGGTCACATGTAGCCCAGGCTATCCTGAACTCAACACTTGGTAGAGGATGGCCTTGGATGTCTGATCCTCCTGCCTCTGCCTTCCAGGTGCTGGGACTGTAGGTGAGCACCACTGTGCTTGACTTCCCACACCAATTTCATGCATCTAGGGCCTCCTTTGGGTCTCACTGGACTTCATGTTCTACACCCCTAATACCATGTTAGTCCAGTGGTTGCACTCCATCAACCAATATTAAGAATATTGTCATGCAAACAGAGATGAAGCCTTTGTGCTTCAAGCAATGGCACAAAGTTGACTCCCCAGGCCAATGTTCCTAAACATGGCTTCCATGTAATCCTTCCTCCTCTGCAATGGTCACCTGACAGGAAGACCACCTGGATTTCTGGAATTCAAGCAGACTCTCCAGAGTCAATTGAGATACCATGTCTTGTGGAAGCTGAGGGTGGGTGTGGGCTTTCTGTCAGAACATCCTCTCTCCAGCCTCCTCAAACTTGCCATCCTCTACAGGAGGGTGGGGGTATGTGAGTGTCAGCAACTCCTGATCTACACACTCTGGATGGAAATTTGTAAAACTTAATGTTCCTTAAATAAATTTCCTTATGATAAAAATGTAAATGCTATAACCAGGGAAGAGAAATCAAACAAGTAAGAAGCAGAGTCAAGATCAGCTGTCCTAAATAGACGCCATTTTCCCATTAACAGCGGTGACGTTCTGCTAGGCATGTGGTTGCACGCCGGTGATCCCAGCACCTAGGAAGCAGAGATAAAAGGACTCTCACAAGTTCTCAGTCATTCTGGTTTACATAGTAGTCCCACCACCCCCACCACCCCCTTAAAAAATTGGCTTAAGCAACTCAGGTTCCAATGCTGGACCATGAGTGATGATTTTGAATTATTCCATTGTGGGTGCCCTCAGTAAATGTTTGGTAATCCTATAACACAGTGGCCACTGTTCACCTGGATTAGGGAGTCTCATCCTCTTATTAATTTATTTGATATATATATATATTTTGTGCATGTGTGCAGGAATTCTTAGAAGCCAGAAGAGGGCACTAGATCCCATGGTCTGCAGTTACATGAAGTTGGGAGGCAACATGAGGGTGCTGGAAACTGAATCTGGGTCCTCTGCAAGAGTAGTACTTGCACTTAACCAGTGAGCCAACCCTCTACCCTCACCCTTCTTTACAGTTGGAAACCTGAGGCTAAGAGGTTAAGGAGTTCTCAAAGGGATGCAGTGCCCTGGGCTAAGGTGGGTTGGGTAACTAAACTCATGAATTTACATCCTGGCCTTGCCGCCTAGAGGACCAAACATGTAGGAAAGGGCTGACTGCATTCTCTCAACCTACCCTACCACATCTTTGGTATCAGATGCTTTTGGTCTCCAGGTTTTTAATTAAACCTCAAGTTCATCCATCGTGTGTTTGTATGTGTGTGTGTGTGTGTGTGTGTGTGTGTGTGTCTGGGTCTGTCTGGGTCTGTCTGTGTGTATGTGTTTGTATGTGTTTGTGTGTGTGTCTGTGTCTGTCTGTGTGTGTGTTTGTATGTGTATGTTTGTATGTGTGTTTATATATATATATATATATGTGTTTGTGTATATGTGTGTGTGTTTGTGTATGTTGTGTGTGTGTTTGTATCTGTGTGTCTGTGTGTATGTGTTTGTATGTGTTTGTGTGTCTGTCTGTCTGTCTGTATGTGTTTGTATGTGTGTGTTTGTGTGTTTATATATATGTGTTTGTATATATGTGTGTGTCTGTGTGTATGTGTATGTTTGTATATATGTGTTTGTGTATATGTGTGTGTGTTTGTATATATGTGTTTGTGTATATGTGTGTGTGTGTTTGTGTGTGTGTCTGTGTGTCTGTGTGTAAGCCAATGGTCAACACTGTGTGATTTCCTCAGGTGCTATCTACTTTGTTATTTTTTGTTTTGTTGTTTGTTTGTTTTGAAACCAAGATCTTACTGAGTTATCAAACGTCCTCAGCTTGATAGCCATTGAGTCTCTGGGATCCACCTGTCTTTGCCTTACCTGTTCTAGGATTACAAAGCCACCTCTGAGGGACTGCATTTGAGTTCTCACACTTGTGAATCGTCACGGCTGAAATATTGCCTCACTCCAACACTCGCTGTTGAGCATCCCTGAGGTTTTAAACTAAGCTGCAGGATTCCATGAACTGAAGAGTGTTTAGGGGCTTGTCTTCCATCAGCCTCTACCCAACTGGACAAGGGCTCTGTGCCCTACCTGACAAGCTCCTCATTGTGTTTCCTCACAGACCCTGAAGGAGTGGGTGGCCATTGAGAGTGATTCTGTGCAGCCTGTGCCTCGTCTCAGGCAGGAGCTCTTCCGGATGATGGCCTTGGCTGCAGACAAACTCCGGAACCTGGGAGCTGGGGTGGATTCCATAGACTTGGGTTCTCAGCAGGTACCAGGGATCTCCTTCCAGTTCAGGAGACTCCACCTCTATGGCCATCTTCCTTAGGTGGCATCAAGAGAAGCACTTACTCAGACCCTCACTGCAATCCCCATAGAGTCCAGGTTTCTCATAAGAATAAACATTCCATCTAGTCTAAAATGAGACTTGCTGTGGACTTCTGGTCATAGCAGGACTCAGGGCAGGTGAAGAAAAAAAATGAAGGTCATGAGTGTGGGTCAATGTGTTATTGGAAGACCTGTCTCTCCAGTTTTCCAAGCACTATCCTCTTTGCCTTTTTTTTTTCTTTGCATGCACAGGCGGGTCCCTGAAAGCACCATTTGAATGGTGTGCTCTTTCCCTGGAACCTTCCTAGTTAGGGTTTCCATTGCTGCAAAGAAGCACCATGACCAGAAAGCAGCTTGGGAAGAAAAGGGCTTATTTGGCTTATACTTTCATATCACTGTTTATCATTGAAGGAAGTCAGGACAGGAACTCAAACAGGACTGAATCCTAAAGGCAAGAGCTGATGCAGAAGCCATGAAGGGGTCCTGCTTACTGACTCAATTTCAGGGCTTGCTCAGCCTGCTTTCTTATAGTAGCCAGGACAACCAGACCAGAGGTGGCTTCACTCACAATAGCATGGGTCCTTCCCATCACTAACTAAGAAAGTGCCCCACGTCTAGATATTATAGAGGCATTTTCTCAGTTCAGATTCACTCCTTTCTGGCTTGTGTCAAGTTGATATTAAACCAGCTAGCACAGAACCATTGCTTAGAACTGCCTGCCATTCTACCATGGTAGATATGCATTAAAGCATCCAGTGTCTCCTCCTTTAGCACTGATAAATTCAGAATCATCAAAGATTAGATTTCCAGGATTTGGGAAATCCGCTGCTTTAAGCCTTTTGAGATCTCAGTTCTTGAAGAATATTTCCAAACAACTATATACAATTTGGCATTGTATATCTAATAATTACTGATTATCATAATTCAAATTTTTATAATGGAATATAATGATTTATGTTCCAATAGTTCTAGATATTGGAAGGATATCATGGTATACATTTTTGTTTTGTGGGTTTGTTTGTTTGTTTGTTTATTTATTTGGGACAGACTCTCACCATGTAGCTTTGGCTGGCCTAGAACTTACTCTGTAGTCCAGGCTGGTACAAAGGCATAGAGATCTACCTGCTTTGGGTCTTTAGACCTAGGAATAAAGGCATGCATCACATACTTAGCCATTGCATGCACTTCAGCGATGGGGGAAAGGATGCTCTGAAAAAATGATGTAAGCTTTACAGGAACTCAAGGATAGAGTAGACAGGAGTCTGTTTTGAATGTTCTAGAAGAAGAAAGAGTATATTCTCTTTGAGTTTTGTTGGTTTGTTTGAATGTTGAGATCCACTGTCCCACAGATGCCTGATGGTCAGAGTCTTCCCATACCTCCTATCATATTGGCCGAGCTGGGAAATGATCCCAAGAAGCCCACCGTATGCTTCTATGGGCACCTGGACGTGCAGCCAGCTCAGAAGGATGATGGGTGGCTCACAGACCCCTACACACTGACAGAGGTGGATGGTGAGTGTCATCTGGTCCCTAGGTGGAGCCTGTACGTAGTAAAGGCTTGACAGAGTTAAAGACTGTCCTTGTCTTTTAGCTATGGTTAAAGATGAGCAGAACTACTCTGTAGTTCTAGTGGTTCAGGAGTATTCCCAGATAGTCAGGAGGCTGGAGAAAGAATCAAAGTTTCAAGCCAAACCTGTGCTTCAAAGTGAATTTGAGACCAGCCTGGGCAACTGATAGGTGCCATATCTCAAAATAAAAAGTGAAGAAAGAAAAAAGAGGCCAGAGGTGTAGATCAATAGTAAAGTGCCTGATCTACTGACCTACATACTCCAGGTCCTAGATTTGATCACACACACACAGTAGAGGGTACACACACACACACACACACACACACACACACACACAAACACTATACTGCAGAGAGAGGATTAGAGAAATCCTGTTTTCATGTCAAAAAAGTTCATTTTCTTCCATTTGTGTTTGGAACTGTGAATTCTGTATCTTTGTGACCGCGTAGGATGGAGTTCTAGGCCAGTGAATACAGTTGTCTAGCTCACATTTTTTTTTTTAGCATACCTAACTTGTATTTTGTAAAGAAAGGAAGAAGAAAAATCAATAGAGATAGACACACGTCTGTTTCATTATTCTTCCAGTAGACAGCATGAGAGACTATGCAGGGCAAGCGATGTTCTGCAGCAAACTCTCGGGGATGTCAAGGAACTTGGACAGTTGAGCTCTTCTAAGACTAGTGGTGTGTGCTTAACCCAGCTTGTCTTACATGACTGATGTTGAACATCCCACTTGTATATAAGAATTTATGCCTTACATTTCTCTTGCTTCTTTTGCTGGTTTTTTAGACAGTGTCTCAAGCTGGCAAAACAACATCCACAAACATAAAATAAAATAAATATTTTTAGAGGATAGATTATTCTGGAACCAAGTATGTATGACCATGGTCCAGGAATGTAGATTCACAGTTCTCAAAATAATGTGCTCTACTGTAGAAGTGGCTGTCTGAGAACAAAGAAAATCATCACCTCTGACAGAAACCTTGCCAGAGACCACACATAGGTGGATCACGTAAGTGAGGAGAAAAATCTGCATAGATTTCAGATGCTATCTGATGACATGCTTTCCTTGTGGATTGGTCAAACTTGGAGTCTATTCAACATACATTCTCCAAGCTTTGAGGTTCATAAGGATGTTCAGGTTAGATACAGGGGTGGCAAACAAATGGATCCCAAGAGGACTAAAAGTATCCCAAAATGTTTGGCTTTGGTCTGCAATATTTTAACTAACCATAATCACAAAGTTCAGTCACTTGACTTTGTAGAAATTTCTAACACAGGTACGGATTGTCTTTTGTCTCAGAATTTGAGTTCCTATAGCTTATGTAACTTGGCAGACATCCCTGTACCATTTTAAAAAAAATTTTTCTTCCATTTTAAAAGGGAAACTGTACGGACGGGGAGCGACAGATAACAAAGGCCCTGTTTTGGCTTGGATTAATGCCGTGAGCACCTTCAGAGCTTTGCAGCAGGTAGGTGGCTAGCTGGGCCTCCTCAAGAGAGGAGGGTGTCATGAGGCAACTGTACGTAAGCATGCTTGGAGTTCTTACCCTGCCTCAGAGCACCACACCGCAAGCACCGCACAGCACTGCATACTCACTTCCTACAACAGCCTTGAGTGTGTATTATGTCACAACCCTTTTTGAGAGAAAAGCAAAAGCTTGGGAAACTTGGGGAACTCACTTAGAGCATCCCAGCCAGAAGCAATCATCCTGGAAGCATGGATTCCAGCCTGTAATGTTAGCCATGTCAAAAACAGAACATGGAGACCAGCAAGGAAAGGCCCTCACTGCCAATGCCTGATTTTGATCTCTAGGACCTACAAGGTGGAAGGAGAAAACAACATCATTTACATGTGTGCTGTGGCATGTGCATGCCCCCTCAATCATACTACCCCCCACACGCATGAAAAAACAGAACACAGTGCTGGGGAGATGGTTCCGTGGCTACTTCAATCCAGGACTTGAGTTCAGATCCCTAGCACCCACTGTAAAATGCTGGATGAGGTGACATATTTCTATAAATCCAGTACCAGGGCCCTGGAGACGGGTAGATCCTGGGAGCTTGTTGACTAGCCAAATTTGCTAAACAGTTCAGTGAGAGACTCTTTTAAAAATTAAGATAGAGAGCAACAGGTGGGAAGATTTGATGTTCATCTTTGTTCTCCACATAAGCATGCATGATTGAGTGAATCTGCACACACGTGCATGCATGGATACAACGTGTGCACAAGCACACAGCCTATGAGACAAAACCCACGAGGAGCCTGGCACACTCCTTAGCACCATGTCATGTCTCAGCGTGTAATTGTTAGAGTTCTCTGAAGCCTTCTCTGAGCTCTGGGAGAAAACCCCTTGGCTCACAAAGATACACAAATTAGTCAGACAAAAGGAATCAAAACTTTAAAGTCAGGCATCCTATGTCCAGGATAGAAAAACCCTAAGATCCATTTTGCCGACAGATCAAAGACTTTTATTAACTTCAAAGCAGATTGAACACATTTGAAAAATAACATTCTTGAAAGAAAACTTATCCTGAGGCCTAGCCATCTTTCAAAGGAAAGAATTCTCCTTTACCATGCTCAGAATTATGGGAACCAAAGAGTGATTTGTAATGAAACCTTTCTTCAGAAACACTCTTTAGGTGTGGAGGTACTGGGGAGATCATGCAGTTGGTAAAGTACTTGTCATGCAAGCATGAAGACTCATGTTCAAGTCCAAAAGGCACACATACAAAGCCAGGTCTTCATGCCTATAGCCCCACTGCTTGAGGAACAGGAAGATATTCCAACTCTCTGACATGCCAGTATAGCCAAACTGGCAAGCTCCAGATTCAATTAGAAAACTTGTCTTAGAAATTAAGGTGGAGAATAACTGAAGAGCACACTAGACATAGACCTCTGGCCTCCACACGCATGTAGCCACATGTGCATACGTAACACACACACACACACACACACACACACACACACACACACACACA